CATTTACGTTCATTCACGATGAAATCATGACAAATCATAAACGAAGAAGTCATGACAAAGTCTTGACAAAAGCATTTACGAAGAAGTCATGACAAATCATAAACGATGAAATCTTGACAAAAGCATTCACGTTCATTCACGAAGAAGTCATGACAAAAGCATTTACGATGAAATCTTGACAAAGTCTTGACAAAGCATTCACGATGAAATCTTGACAAAGTCTTGACAAAGCATTCACGAAGAAATCTTGACAAATCATAAACGATGAAATCATGACAAATCATAAACGATGAAATCATGACAAAAGCATTCACGAAGAAGTCATGACAAAGTCTTGACAAATCATAAACGATGAAATCTTGACAAAAGCATTTACGTTCATTCACGATGAAATCATGACAAATCATAAACGATGAAATCTTGACAAATCATAAACGATGAAATCTTGACAAAAGCATTTACGTTCATTCACGATGAAATCTTGACAAAAGCATTTACGTTCATTCACGAAGAAGTCATGACAAAAGCATTTACGTTCATTACGATGAAATCATGACAAAAGCATTCACGTTCATTACGATGAAATCATGACAAATCATAAACGATGAAATCTTGACAAAAGCATTTACGTTCATTCACGATGAAATCATGACAAATCATAAACGATGAAATCTTGACAAATCATAAACGATGAAATCTTGACAAAAGCATTTACGTTCATTCACGATGAAATCTTGACAAAAGCATTTACGTTCATTCACGATGAAATCTTGACAAAAGCATTTACGTTCATTACGATGAAATCATGACAAAAGCATTCACGTTCATTACGATGAAATCATGACAAATCATAAACGATGAAATCATGACAAAAGCATTCACGTTCATTCACGATGAAATCATGACAAAGTCTTGACAAAGCATTCACGATGAAATCTTGACAAATCATAAACGATGAAATCTTGACAAAGTCTTGACAAAGCATTCACGATGAAGAAGTCATGACAAAAGCATTCACGATGAAATCTTGACAAAGTCATGACAAAAGCATTTACGTTCATTACGATGAAATCATGACAAAAGCATTTACGTTCATTCACGATGAAATCTTGACAAAAGCATTTACGTTCATTCACGATGAAATCTTGACAAAAGCATTTACGTTCATTACGATGAAATCATGACAAAAGCATTCACGTTCATTACGATGAAATCATGACAAATCATAAACGATGAAATCATGACAAAAGCATTTACGTTCATTACGATGAAATCATGACAAAGTCTTGACAAAGCATTCACGATGAAATCTTGACAAATCATAAACGATGAAATCTTGACAAAGTCTTGACAAAGCATTCACGATGAAGAAGTCATGACAAAAGCATTCACGATGAAATCTTGACAAAGTCATGACAAAAGCATTTACGAAGAAGTCATGACAAAGTCTTGACAAAGCATTCACGATGAAATCATGACAAATCATTCACGATGAAATCATGACAAATCATTCACGATGAAATCTTGACAAATCATAAACGATGAAATCTTGACAAAAGCATTCACGATGAAATCATGACAAATCATAAACGATGAAATCATAAACTTTGCCATGGTCTCTGTCCCTAGTAGTTTTCATTAAGTTCTGGAAATAATGAAAGTCATGAACTTTGCCATGGTCTCTGTCCCTAGTAGTTTTCATTATCTCACAGAGTTAATGAAAGTCATACTTTCTATCAGATGAAGCATGCAGATGAACATAACGAAAGTTAGTGAGTTTGCCACGAGTTATGAATAAAATATTGGCATATTAGATGAGATAGCTGATGAAACAGATGAAGATAAATTAAATCTTGGACTTTGCCACACTCTGTCCCTAGTTCCTCAAAATCCTTGACAACGTTGCTTAGAAATTTTGGTTCAAAACCTCATCTGATTTTAATCTGTTATGCTACCTGTTAAGTTTCGCGAGATTATAAATGTCATGGAGTTATATAAAAAGGAGGGACAGCTAGGGACACTGGAAGTACTTGTAAGGCTATCTGTTAAGATTGCATGAAATACTAAAAAGTCATGAAATCCATTATCGCTGTGCTAGCTTCACCTTAGAGTAAAATGACGACTAAAGTCACTGAAGCAATGAAACAAAAGTTTTTGGTAGAATACATTAAATCAGGAGCGGTTCCAGAAGGTTTTTACATTCATACTATGAAGGATGGTAGAGTTCAGTTTAGAAAGATAAAGCAACCATTAGATAGAGAAGGTATATTAAGGAAGATTAAACTTCATGAGGACAACATTGCTGAACTTAAGAAGAAGTTAGAAGAGTTGGAGAAAGGAAGAGAGTTATAAAGCAATGAATTCAAGTGGGTGAAAAAACAGGTGAAAAAAGAGGTGAGATGTCACCGCTTCACCTAAATTTATTTTTGTGCTATGTTTTCATACGTGTGAGGGTGGTGATATCATTAATTTTAAGTTTATTTTTAAGTTTATTTTTATGTAAATGGCGAAAACTATTGAGATAACAAACTACAACGGTCATGAGTTCAAGAATTTGTTCTTCGTTCCTCGTGAAAATACATTCTATCAGATACGAGGGAGAAAGGGTAAAGTTAGTTTGAGCGTTTATGAAGGAATGAAGAATGGAAAGTTTATACAAGCATACGATACAAACGGTAAGCGTGTTTCATTAGCTTTGTCAAAACTTACTAACATTTATTTTGACAGTGACTTTGACTCTGACGATTGGAGCGACAGCAGCGATACTGAAGAATATGAAGTATTGTGTGAAGCACAGCAATGGGAGGAGTTGCAATACTTTTGTAAGTGAGAACGTTTATTTTTACAGTAGTGAAGTCGTTTGTGAAAACATTAGTGAGGTGAAGTGGTTGGCGGCTTTATAAATATTTAAGGTTAAGTTGGTGTTTGTGTTTGTGTTGTAAAATATACGTTAACGGTTTTGTAAAGTGTCAAATTCACATATAATGGGTAAGGAGGCTCGCAGTGCCTCCGTACACGACTTAGCCATACTAACTGCGAATGAGTTTTATTTTACATACTCTATTGATAAATCATATTTTTGTCGAGATATAACCTTTTTTAAAAAAATTATATGCAAAGAGTGTTATAGAATTCTAGAAGGTATAGTGCATAATTTGAAGTATACTATCAAATAAAGAAATTTTACAGTTTTTTTAGTTTTATTTAGATGTACGTTATTTTAGATGGCTTCGTCGAAAACAAAGCATGTCTGTTAAGTTTATTCTTAACATGATAAATAAAATGGCAACGAAGCCCAGTGTACTGCGTCTTATGCCGTAGTTTTTGTTATCTTCATACTCAAATACAACAAATACAAATAGATTTATTACGAAAAAACGTATAAAACAAATGATATATTTATTTCTAGACAAGTTGACGAACATGTAGCGCAACTGTATCGCTTTAGAGAACAGTTCTTCCAACACCTACTCATTCAGTGAAAGACTGATTCACATTGTTGCTGGTAAGTCTGATTGCTTCAGATAGAGAGCATGAATTGCTTCTTTATCATCTAATCCCCATCCCCCTTGTTCCGATTGGATGACATGGACAATTCATCTTTCTCTAACGAAACAAAATGACACTTTTTTGGCGGCTTATTGACTCAGAAAAATTTGAGAGTTAACGAATAATTTTGGCGCCAAAAATAATTTCTCTTAATTTATTAAATTTAATATACGCACATCCATAAGTTATGCTATTTTTTCTATTTATTTTGTTCTAAAATTCTAAATATTTTTTTTTCATAACATAAAATATGATGTCTAGTCTCATTTACATAACAACATGCCTTAGAATAGGTTTTTTATTCTTTTTGTCACTTTAAATTAAGAATAAAAAGATAATTTAAATTGAATATTTGCGATTATTCTCACTAATGCTGCTTCCTCTTTTATTAGGTAGACAACAAAAAGTTAGCCTTGGACTCCCATATCAGATTTTTGATTGGTTGCGTATATAATGAGCTGAGATTGATAGACGAAAACCCAGTGAGAAAATTTTTGACGCCTTAAAATCATAAAAATCCAAAAAAACTATAAATATATGTTTTATGCATAGTGTCGATACTCAAATATCAGATTACTTAGATCCATGAATAATATCCGAATTTTTTTTCTTAAAATTAAACTTCAAAACTTCTTGCAATCTTATTCTTCATCAATTGTAAATTTTTAAAACCATTTTTAAAATAATTATGCGTAAATTTTATTCTCATGTTGTTTTAATCGAAAATTGATACATTTTCAAAAAAATAATATTGACTTATGAAATTCATTTTTAAGGTGAAATAGTATTGTTTTTATTAAAGTATATGAATAATATATAAAACTTAATGAATAATATATAAAACTTAATGAATAATATAAGCAGATTTTTAGTTTACAAAACAAATATGAGCAATGCAATTTCAAACTTTTGCTGGCAATTTCGATATTGCTCAAGTTTGTAGTATTTGTGATACCTATAACATCGGCTTAATCAAAATTCGATTTTTCTTATGAGTTATTGAGAAAATTTGATTGCAATGAGAAGGATTTCGACGTTTTTGATAAACTAAGAGCTGAGCTTTAGGGGTTCAGTTCATTTATGGCTGTAGTTTGATGCGTAGATCTCTTTTTTATTGTAAATTCTTTCAGCATGGAGATCGAGAATGAATCTTTTGAGAACTTTATGAGTTTTTACACCCGTAAAGAGGTCCTTCGAGGAAAGATAGTCCAGACTACATGAAGATGTGGGTTAACCAAAAAAATCCGATGGTTTCCCCATATTCATGTAGATCTTCGAAAAAATGAGCACCAAAAAAGCCAAAAAAATAGGCTTTTTATTGGATTTGTACACTAGATCAATAACCTATTTAGGATCTGACACTCTTTTTAGCCAGAGATATGAGGTCCTTTCTAGGAAAACGATCTATTCATCCATAAAAAAAATGAATTATCGTTTTCCCCAGAAATTACATGGGGAGTGGTAAAAGTAAAGCAAATCTGGGTACTATTAAAAAGAACGAAACAACAGTTTCAGAAGGTGTTGATATAATGTTCGATGAAGATCTATTTTTATTATTACCTGATGAAAAAGGCCATTTTACTCGTGAACAATGTTCTGATTATACCAAGCAAGAAATGGATAATGTATTTCAGAAAGATCCTTGCATCGTTAACAAATATAAATATGAATGTTACAAAGTTCCCACCCCTCCAGCAGAAATTGAAGAAGATGATGATGGATTAAGTGGTGGTGCTATTGCTGGCATTGTTATTGGTGTTATAGCTGCAGTTGTAATTATTGCAGTTCTTATTTGGTTCTTCGTTATTAGAAAGAAATCTTCATCATCAGATCAACCAGAACCCTAAGTGATTAAATGCATGAATAAAAATCATTTATGAAAAATTTCATTTGAAGAATTTCATATGAATATTTTTATTGATTATGAAGCAATCAACTATGAAGTATATGAAATTGATAGTCATATTGATAATTGGTTTAACCTAGGAATGATTTTTTAGCCATCTGTAACATTGAAAAAGAAAAATTATTCTAATTTGTTATCATAAAGAAAATGTTAAAAAAAGCCTCAGACAATTGTATCGATAACTAAACCAGGCAGTATTTTGTTTGATGAACTTGGAATCACATTTAAATGACTATGAAATTGCAATTATAATATATTAAGAATTTGCTCATTTTATAATATCTGTCAATAATGATAAACGAGGCTATCTTACCAGATAATATATAATATGGCAATATTTTCGCAATGTTCTGAGCTGTGGTTTGGAATAAATCAGCAATCAAAAACAAATTAGTTGCAATGCAATTCATCATGATTGGAGAATTCTTGAATTCATATCCTTTGTAAAATAAAGCAATCACCAAATGCAAATTTTATGGAATCTTTAGCTCAGAAGTTAAAATTCAGGATTTTCTTTGTAATGAAATTCTTGTTTATAAAAAAATTAACTTTTCATTAACAACATACAACACATAGATATTTATTTATTAAATATATTGGATATTTTCATAAGATTTTCACTTTCGACTTCAAAGATTTGGGATAATTTTGAAAATCCTTCTGAAACGAATTTCTTACCGATTTTTGTGTCTTCTTGGTCGAATGGTTGAGTGTTTTCGTTTTCAAAATAAATTTGGAACAATTGGTAAATCAAAACACAAACTTCTTCTGGAATATGAAAATCAGGAATGGATAAAGCAGCGAGGATAGGAATTGATAAGCATCTTTTCACAACTGGATTATCTTCATTATTTTGGTCGTTGATTTTTTCAAGACAAAAGTTAATTATTTGAGAAACATCAAAATTAACTTTGTTTGAAATAACAAGTGCGAATATGACCATGAATGGGAAGTAATCCGTATCATAAAGATTGAATTGGCTCTTTATAACAAAGATTTCACCACCAAGTTCATAATTCTTTGGTTTTTCGTTATAAAGCTTTCCCATGAAGAAGGACACAAATATTTCTGCCAGTGTCTGACCATTTTCGTTCGGAGAAAAGAAAACATTCGGATATTTGCAAATACTATACGAAATTTGTAATAAAACCTCAGAAAGACAACAAGCGGATAGGTTTCTTATATCTGATAGTCTCATAGTGTATTCGATCATCATTTGCAAGTGATTTTCGAAATCAATCAAAGGATTTAACGATTCTACGAAATCTACTATTTCTAAATCGTTTTCTACCAGTTTCTCTATTATCTCTAAATGTTTTTCCATCATTGGCCTGAAATCTATCAATTTTCCAACAGATAATAAAATATCTGAAATTGTATGGCATTTTTGTTCGATTTCTGCATCAACTTCGTATTCCTTATCACATATATCTTCGTCATCAAGCATCAAAAGTATCGAATCATATAAAGGAACAAGAATTGATTCAAGATATTTTGTTGCTTCGTCCGGAATCTTCTTTGCTATAGCGGAATAAGCCAAAGTATCACTATAAAGTATAGAAATCTTCTTATATTCTGTTATAAACTCAAGAACTTTTTCATTTATAAAAGTTTCGAATCCACATTGAACAGAATTGCGAATATACCTTAGATACAATGTGAAAACGCATAAACTAAAGGTAGGAATGACTTCTATGAGGTTTAGTTTCGGAATTGAATCAATATCCAGAGATTTTTCCGTTAAATAAGTTTCTATCGAATTCTGGATGATCTCAAGATGACTTTGAACAATATCTTCTGTGAATTGTTCCCTTCCAATGTAAGGAGAAACTGACAACAACGCAATTTTTGCTAAAATCATAAAAGCATCGTTTTCATCAGATGGAAAATCAAGAATTGCATCATATGTTGTTGTTAGGATCGCCATATCATCATCTGAGAGCTTTGTTTCAGAAGAAATCAAATATTGAATATAATACGTAAATAAATACGAATTTTCAGTATTTATGTCCTGTCCATCATGCAAAATCGCATTAAATATGATGTATTTGCTATCAGGATTCATATCAATTATTTTGTTGAAGAGTTTTGAAGAAAGTAGTCTTAAATCATCATCTTTCAAGTAGCTATTAAGATTTAGTTCATCATAGAGACTAGAAATGAAAACTGTTGGATCATCATCTGATAAATCTGGAACTTTGCAGCAATTTTCAATTATTGGAAATAAATGAGGTAAATAAGTCTCCATATCCATCACATCTAGAATCTGTGATGTGAAATTGGATATAATAAGTTCAATAGTGTTAGATCCTTTAAGAAAATCCGTATTAATTAAATAATTTAAAATATTGATAAAAGGTTCAATTAATTCCTGCAAAAATGCATTAAGATCTTCTTCTGATTGTTCGTTCTTCTGAAAACAACCTGCTAAATTGCACAGAGACATGACAAAAACGTTAATTAACTTTAAATTCAAGTCTGATGGACTTTCTATTGATAGTAGCTGTGAAATCATGGCTAAAATATATTCAATATGTGATTGTTCTTTAGAAAGCATCAAAACAAATTGATTTTTTGATGGATAATGAACTTTTTTAAAAATTTTTGTTAAAATTCTAATTCTAAAGTAGTTGTTTGTTGTATCTGTGAATAAGTCATCAGTTGTAAACTGTTGGAGTAAAATAAAGAAGTCGGAATAAGATTCTTGATTTGGATTAATAATAAAGTATAAATATTTGAAGAACAGCAATTTGTACTTGTCATATATGTTATCAGATGATTCAAATTTGTTTAATAATGGAAAGAATACGTCAAATTTGTTTTCTGTGATGAAAAGTAGTTTAGAAATCATTTTCCCTAATCTAGTATAAGATTTATCGATATATTCTAGCGCAAGGTCCATGAAATCTGATTGAACCAGAAAATCTTGATTGTGTATAAAAATTTTTTTGTGATATTCTGGTATAAATAAGCGTTTAAAGCAAGCATCTATTATAACCTTTTGATTCCCAGTGTTAGCGTTCGGATTAGTCTCTTGTTTAAGCGAAAAAGATAAAACCATATTGGCAAAATTTGGTCTAGATAGCAAATCATCATATAGCCCTTGCAGCTGTTCCTTCGGAAAATTTGGATCAATGAGATTTTCTGTTATACTAATAAATTCCTCATCGGTCAGTAAATTCATAGGAAGGATTAGAAATTGAGGGGCTGACAGTTATATTTGACTAAAATGTCAAATTAAATGAAAAAGATCACTATAATATGGATATGCATATTCCAAAAGTTTTGAGTTTTCCACTAAGCAAAATATAAAATTATTGAAATGAAGGATAAACATTCTATCCTATTGATTAATTTCACTGAAGCGTTCTTGTGCTTCATGAGGAATGAGAAAAATTGCCACAATTGTTGTTGAAACATGAAATGGAATTCATATAGCAAAAAAATTAATAAGAAAGAGATTTCTTTGAAGTAAAGAATCCTGACAGATTTTAGTTGAGTTTTGGGCGATATCATAGATATCTTATTTTGTCATTTTATTAAGATAATTATACAGACAAATTTTATTTAAGAATAACAACGATCTTATTACAAAAATTCGTTTAAACTGGAATGGTGGCATCCTGTATAGCTACGAGAATGAAGTCATTATCTGGAACAATAATAATTTCATTCTTGTGAGATCTAACCCGAATTTGGCTGATTGCACCTGGAAGTAAGCTATTTTCAAGAGATACTTTTGCTTTTTTAACAAATTCGCTGACTAATCCTGCGTAATGAACTGATTCGGCTTCTCTGAGTGATGTTTTGTATGGAAGACCATTCATTTTAAGAACCAGATAACCAGTAACTCCAGGAATTGTAGCTAGGTTCTTTAAAATACCATCAATTTCGATACTCATATGAAAACTTTTGTTTTTAACGTACCTCCTTGATTTGAAACAGAGCATTTCAATTTAGCTTTACGAGCTATTTTGGTTATCATGATTCCAATATAGTCTTTCAGGAATTCAAGCCAGATACCAATGGCTTTTATTGTTTAATTCAAAAAGAATGCATAGAATATTTGATCCATGATATATAAGATTAAACCGAGTTACTTAAATTTCCATTGGAATCTCAAATAATGCAGCTGAGCTTATCAAATCTCAAAGAAAATTTCATGAAAAATGAAATTACGTGAATTATTGATATAATACAAACATTTTAAAAATCCTAAATATATTAATGATTTCTATTAGTGCGTCCTAGTCTTTCGTAAGAAGGATCTGTCAAATATCTTGCATGAAGATAGACATTCTTCTCTGGATCATATAATTTTGGATTTGGAATTGTCAACGATTTGGGTCCTATTGAAGTATATCCAAAATTATATAAAGTGCAGTAAGGAACGTTAAATCTATCAATATAATCCCAAATATCACTGTATGTCCATTCTAGTATTGGCATAACTCTTTCAGCTTCTGGCCAGCCATTTGTTGTTGGTTCAAAATGCTTCATTTTGATATTCGGAATATCATCTCCTCTTACACCCAAGAAAACAGAGTTGATCTGGTATTGATTAACCAACTTTTCAAGACCATCTTTTAAGTTATCTGCTTGTAATCTGATAAGATTAATTCCGTAATACTTTTCGGAAAAGGAAATAAAATCAACGATCTCATCAAACTCGTCATCAACTTCCAAATAGAATGGCTTGATGTTGACATTCATCTTCTGTGCGCATCTGAGAACTAAATCTAATAAAACAATTGAATCCTTTCCTCCATTGTAGCAGAATGAGAGCCTATTGCCGTATCTTCTAAAGGCTTCATAAATTACTTTGTTTGCCTTTTCAATCTTAGAGTCGAGATTGATGTTTGACATTCAAGAATAATGCCGGTAATAAAATTTTCAATGCGATCAAAATGAATTACTTTTTCTCAATTAGCGGATTTTAATGTCACTTTTTCTCACAATCTCTCTCAAATAAAATTTTAAGTGAATAATTGAAAAACATGATCGCAATATGAAATAAATCACATTAATTAACGTCTATCAATATCATTCGACTTTTATTCATTTCATCAAGATGAATATCTTGATTTTAAAAATACTAGATTTTATTCAACAAGCGTAATAATTGAGTTACATCTTTAGATGTGGATAATGAATTATGATGAAATCAAGAAATAACTCAAAATTCATGCTCAAATCCTTTTGAATCCTGATCAAGAAATCATATAATCGATGAAATTAGCATGACAATTAAGTTCTATACGATATGAAAAGAAACATTAGATAGAATATTCTTTGATTTGATCTTTGAAATATTTCTTATCTTTAGAGAGCTGTCTTTGACTCAACTTTCTTTAAAATATTTTTGGTTCCAAAAATAATTATTGTACAGACAACGATTTGAATTGTTACAAGGAAATTGATTTGTAACAAGGAAATTGATTTGTAAAGTTATTACAAAAATTTAGTGCTGGGCTGATGCACCGTATTTCCTTAGTACACCTAATGTTTCTGATAGTAAATCTTGTATTTGGGGCTCCATCATACGTTTCAGATCAATATCTTTCTTTCGCTGAGCTAATTGTATAGGAGTTCCTGGTTTATCAGGCGATGATTGTTCTGAGTCTGAAATAATCTTGTTAACTTTTTCGATTGTGTCGACAGGTTCAACATCTATTAAGTCCTCAAAACGTTTTAGTGACTCATTATCAGTTTCATATATTCTAAACTTAATTTCTGGAGTATACTGAATCTTTTTCTCTTTGGGTTCATTTTGGTTTTCAGACATCAACTAATTCCTCTGGAAAAAAATGAAAATAAATATGTTGTAAAAATAAAACATCAAACTTCGATTCGTTTGTATATATGGCCCTAGAAGAGCAGGATTCGATGTTAAGAAAGGAAATTGTTTATTAATTAGGCAGTTTTCGGAAATTGTTTGGAAGAAACAATTTTTCGCTTTCCTTCTACAGTTGCATACAAAATATGCATTAATAAGGATTTGTAATTAAAAATAAAAAGGGAATCGGGTAAATCAATCGCTATACCTTCGATTATACTAATCATCCCTTCTTACAATAAGATTTTGGTAATAATATCTGCGTATGAGAGTTGGAGTATTCTTAATTTGTGGGAAATTTTGATAAGTTTCGAAAACTATTTTGAGTATGTTCAAAAATATTAGAATTTAATTGCATCTGATGCAGTTAACTGTGAACAATCAATTTTAGGTAATTGATGAAAATCGATATCAATATTTAAAATTTTCCAATCTTCTTTGGCTGGAAGCTACTGTATTGGACACTTGGAATGAGTTTCCCCTTGGTGTTTTTTTCCAAATTTTTTAGATTTTGGAAAATTCATAAGCAAATTTGTAGAAAATGAAACAGTTTTTTACAATTTTTGATTTTTTTTGGAAAAATGAGGTTTAAAAATCTTGAAAATTTAATTTTATAAAGAAATAAAACAATTTCTTTGTATTTTAAATCGATAGATGTATTTTATTTTTATTAATCTATAACTATTAGCCTAAAATATGTCAATTATACATCAAAATAAAATCTAATTTTTTTATTATTATATAAAGGAGACTTAAATTCCTGAGCTTAATCCATATAAAGTATTTTCTCAAATATAATATATAGTTACATATATATATCAACAAGCATTATGATAAAATCATGATTTTATTCATAAGTAAGTTAAAGATGCCAATAAATAATCTGAACAAAATGTGTATTAAATTTGTATGTTTAGATTCCTCATCTTAAGCTTTTGATGAGTTAGTGACAATTGCCCCACAACGAGCATAAATTTGATCAGTATCTTATAATCAAAAGGAAGTTAAGGTAATATATTTGAGATCTTATTGCCCGGTACATGTACATAATATTTAATCAGAATGATTAGTCAATCTGCTTTTTCAATATTGATTTAAATTTTTAAGCCGGAAAAGTACTTTGGTTATAGTTGATGATACGTAAGGTTGCAACTGTTGTAATATTTCGAAAAAATAAAAATATAAATTTTAATGGAGGATATGTTGAGTTGAACAACGAATTATTGGATTGCTGCAATATAAATATTCTTCACCACCTAGTAAATAATTGCTTCATACTAATAATATGGATCAATTATGTTTTAATGACCAGATAAAGGAGAAACAATATACTCATATGCCACTTTTTTTGGGCAAAGAATGAGCTCCACTTTAAGATTCTTCAGCTTGAAATACTCACTTTTCCACTAACTTATCTGATTAGCTACTAAGTATATTAATTTACTTCAACTTAAGATAAATATCAAGTACCTACAAAATAACAAAATAATTTTATTAAATATATGCATAAAAACAAAGTATTCCGTAATTAGATATAACAATGTAACAATATTTGAGTAAATACTGTGTTTCATTTAAATTTTGATGGATATTTGTCAATGATTTTCTTTATTGCTGGATTTCGTTGGGAAGTTATTAATAATTGTTCTTTGATAGTCCTTTCTGGTGTCACATAAGTGTCTAAACTTGCTCCAATATCAATTAAATATTCAATAATCTTTGGAGATTTTTTGATAGACATTACATATTCTCCAAGTATTGTTCTTTTGTTTTCTGCATGCCCATCAATTTCTAGACCGTTTTGAACCAACAATTTCAAAATTTCCAAGCAAAGATTTTCATTTCTTGGATTAATCATATAATATGGTCCTAATCTGTTATTATCATCATATCTATTTACATCAATCTTCTTTTCAAGAATCAATTTTGCAATTTCTAAGTTTTGTGATTCACAAAGCCAGTGAACAGCACATGTAGCCTTAACATCTTTTGGAGTATCTATATTATCTATAGAACGAACAATCTTTTCAACAATTTTAGTTTTCTGTTTTCTGCAAGCGATTTCTAAAGCATTTTGATTGGAATTATTCTTTATCAATGCATTTTCTTTATTCTTTGAAAATAAAAAGTAAAATGCATCGTCAAAATCAAGAGATATTGCTTTTTGAAGTGAATTGATTTCTTCTTCATCCTCAATGCCTGCATTATTTAAAATCCATTCAAGACAATCAATATCTTCAACATCTAAAGCAAGGTTGACAAGATTTGTTAAACAATAAACGGAATTTTGGAATAATTTTGAAATCGAATATCCAATTTTCTTTAAAATAGATAAAGAATGAATGGATTTTGTTGCTATTGCTATATATGGAAGATTAATGTCTGAAGAACTCTTGTATTCTGATTCAAATATATTCTGAAAATCAATATCATATTTAATATTTGAATATGCTAAATAAAACGATAAAACTTCTAATGAATTACCTTGTACTGCATAATGAATTGGAGTGTATCCATTCGTGCTTGGCTTTGTAAGAGGAATTCCGACATTTTTAAACAAATAAATAAAACATTCTAAAGAATCTGCAAATGCTGCAATATGTAATAGTGATAAGCCTTGTTTTGGCAAAAGAAACTTATAATTCTGAATATCGGATTGTGGGAGCTTCAAATCAATCTGAAAATTACTATTAGTCAACAATTCGGGATTCTTGTAGCCCATTAATGCGTCTAATTCTGACTCCATTACAAAAAATAAATCATATGAAAAGTGACAAAATTTTTGTATCAACTTTTTTTTGAATGGGCACAAACTTTTATTTTGAACAATAAACATACATCAAAGCACATTGATGCAATATGTTAAAAGTCGTATCATAGCAAACGACTTGAAATTTCGACAGAAAATAGGTTATAAAGAGTGTGAATAATAGCGGATGCCTTTTGATTTCGACTGTAATATGAATAACCTCAAAATCTTGTTCTCTGTTAGATCAAATCCCTTGAAAAATTTCGATTCCTGAAGTCGTAATATAAAATAACGATTATTCTAACTTTTTGACTGAATTTAAATAAGAACGATTTCATCAATATTCATACGTGAATTATTAAATCCTTTCAAATTTCTGAATATGGTCAACCGTTTATTTTCAAATAAATTATGATTTTAGATTTAACGGAATTTTCTATATAAAAGAAAAGTGACAAACAAAATGGAAAATAATGCGAAATTTATGATAATTTTGATCCAATTTTTAATGCTAACTATTATGAAATCATTTATAAATCCACATGATTTCGTTTGGGTTCAAGTAAGCAATCTTACTATAGCATATCAAAATCGAATTACACGGACGGAATGGTTTTTCAATTTAAAATATTCAAAGCTTAATTATACAGTTACAAGAATTGATCCTTCACGATATCAAAAAGCAAGATTAATCAATGATGATGAGAGAAAACTTTCATGTTCTTTTGTTCATAGCAATTTTTTCCTCAAATCAGCAGTATACATTGCGGAATTTGATAATGCATATTTGTCTCCACAACCAGCTATTGGTGACACTAGAATTCGAGTTTTTTTCGAAGAAGATCCAAAACAATTGATTCAAAGAATTACAGTTGGTTCTTATGATATTGGAGTATACTACACACAGATTATAGGGCAATGGGGTCATTTGATTCATGATTTCTTTTGTGCAATAATGCATGTACCACAGGAAGTGTATGATAAGGGATTTTACATTTGTACGAATCCATCAGGTTATGGAATGATCACAGAGTATCTCAAATACTTCAAAATGGACAAAAATATCAACGTTTTAAATATTGATTTAAAAACTCAACAAGTTTTCGTCAATAAGTTATATATTTTATCATCATTACACTTTGCACATGGATATACGGTCGGAGGAATCATTAAACTCCGAAAATTAATTTTTAAAATATTTAAATTGGAAGGGATCAAACCTTATAAGTACAGTATTATCAATAGACCAGGACTGTCAAGAAAGATTCACAATATTAAAGAGCTTTTGGCTGCTCTTTCCCAGGAATGTCCTCCGAAATCCGAAAAATGGCAAATTGAGCAATGGGACTTTAATGATATCGGCAAAACCGTTAAAATATGGTCCACTATAAAAGTTGTTTGCCATCCAAGTGGATCTGGATATTATAATAGTATTTTCATGCAGGAGAACACAGGATACCTAGCAATGATGTCCAAACAAAAAGACTTTCCAAATTTCCATTTAGCAGCTATTTCAAACATGTATATCGTAGGAATTACTCATACTAACATGGAACATTACTTTAGTCAGCCAATTCCATGCGACGTACCAAGAATGGTTGCTGGTTGTAAAGTATTATTTGAACTTATGGAAAAAGGAACTTGTAATGATACACGTTTCCAAATCCCAATTAATATCGAGGAAGCAAAAAGTATCCCTGATATAGAGATCGATGAACTTTCTACTATACTTAATAGAACTGTTTTGTAGTTTATTATATTTTGTATATTGTAAACATGTTAATTTTGCTTGTTATTGCTTGTATCAAATATGTCCTTGTTACAATCTTTTAAATCAACATTACATTAAATGAAAATTATAGAAATTCAACAAATTTTATTGCCACCTATTATTAACTCTACAATTTTATAAAAATTACATGTGAAATGTCAGATAACTCCGGGTGGGATCAGTAAAATCTGATTTACCTCATAGATACAAAATTTAGATTTATGCGAATTAATTGCTGAACATACTCAGTTCTCACTGGGTCCATCAGACTTTATCAGTGACAAAGATTTGACACTGCATATGGAATCAAATCAAATCAAATAAAAAAAAAAAAAGATATAATATTCGAATCATGCACATTTAAATTATTATAAAAGTAGTATATTTGGAATCAAATTCACCTCTAATAAATTAATATCTAATAATATTATCAAAAAAATTTAAGCTCCTTGAGTATTTGAATTATCTGGTTGATTTTGTGGTTCTGTTGGAGCTGGAGCAGGTTGAGCTGGTGCTTGTTGTTGCTGATTTTGTTGGTTTTGATTATTTTGGTTTTCATTCATAATTCCACCAAGAATATTTGTAAGATCGGATGTTAACGTTCTGAAGAAGTCTGCCGGGTTTGTCATTTCGCGATTAACAGTGTGTGTAATAATTCTTGGTCTGCGACCATTTCTTCTACCAGGTAATGGGAAACCACCTTCGGGTTCGGCCAAAACGTTTGCATTTCTGATTAAAATAGGTATGGATGCGTTAATTTCTTCAAGAAGGTGATTTGCTTGTTCTCTTTGCTGACTTTCATTATTATCAGCCATAGAAATCTGTAAGTCTGCACATATTGTTTGAAGTTTTGCCAAAGAAGTCTGAATTTGATTGAGATAGTATTGGGGAGAATTATTTCCATTGTCTCCATCAGGAATATTTATTTCAGAAACACGAACATCAATTCTTGGTCCAGGTGGGGGTGGTAGAGGTTCTGGTTCTGGATCTGCGGCCGGACGATTTTCTTGTGATCTTCCTTTAAACACAATAATTGCTTGACCATCTGAAATATTGTATTCTGAGATTTTTGTACCATTTTTAAGTGATTTACCGCAGAAAATAAGTTTCATATTTTCAACTGGAATATTAGTGAAGTCTGAAGCTAAAACCTTCAAAGAATCAACAGTAATATCTTTAGGAACTTGAATTGCATGCATCTCATCGCTGTTCATAGCCTTCAAGTTAATGGAAATTAACTCCTGTTCTTCACTCATTTTTCCCTAAGTTTGCCTTGACCAAAATATAATATCAAATCCTGATATAACCATCAAAATACATTACATCAAGTAATCAAAAATATTAAATTTTGTTGGCATAATCTCATGTTCAACATTTCCAATATCTTCATTTAGTCATATCTTAGACTGTTTGGACAGGTCAATCTAACAACCACTAGCTATGTAGTCATAATGAGCTATTGCCAATAGTCAAGCTGTTGGACGTGACAATTTGTAAGCATGTTATTTTGAATCTTTAATTAAACAGCAAGCTATTATGTTCGACGATTGTTTGCTGATATTATGATAAGGAATTAATTCAGATTTAAAATTAATATTTTTAATAAACTCAGAGATTTGACCTTCAATATATACCCATTTTCTATTCCTAATGAAAGAAAGCTTGAACCATATGCTTATAATAATAAGAGTACATGGAGAAACTGTATCTCAGGCTTAAATATCATAAACGGCACCCTATTTAGTATAAAAACAAGTTTTTATGATAGAAAGAGTAATAAAAGATTACTTATTATCAATATCATTAATCAATGAATTGACAGTAAATATTATTTTCTGATTTGGTTCAGGAGCATCGATATTTTCATCAGGTGCCATCATCTCAAGCCATGGGTGATTGAGAATTTCGTCCGCATCTGGTCTGAAATCAGGTTCGATAGATAACATCTGACTGAGGAGGTCTTGGAGCATTTCTGACTGATTATCATCAAATATAATCTCTCCACTGCATATTTGGCTCTCAATGTCTTCCCAAACGCTTTCTACAGGAGTTGATTCATTTACAGTCCAAGGCATATGATTGGCTGTCATTGCGTATAGACAGATGCCTGCAGTCCAAATATCTGCTTTAAACTTATCAAAACTCTTCTCAAGCAGTACTTCAGGAGGCATATATACAAAAGTCATACCTGAACTCTTAGATGGATGTCTGTATACTCCGAACTCTGTTATCTTGATTGTATTATCCATTAAAACATGTATGCTCTTTAAAGATATTTCTTTATGAGCAATTCCTCGATGATGTAAGTATGATATGCCACTCATTATCTGTTTGAAGTACTTTGCAGCAGTTTGTTCATCAATTCCATTGTTTTTTTGAACCATGCTATCTAGCGTAACCCCAATGAAGCTATCAAAAATTGTGTAAATGTTATTAGCATCAATCATGACATCGACGAGTTTAATGATATTGGGATGATTAATTTGGGCATTTAAACAGATTTCATGCTTAAATACTTGTAATTGCTGCTCATTATTTTTTATTTCCATCGGAATTATTTCGCATGAATAGTCTATATTGTTGAATCGGTTATGGCAGCTACAAATGGAACCAAAAGCCCCGGAATCAATTAAGGTATCAAAGGAATAAGGTGATAATGTCATTGAAATTCTGGAACAAATTGAATATATCCGTAAATTTAACACAATTCATGCAAAAATCAAAAATATTTTGAGAGCTTAATACAAAAATCAAAATTTCTAGTGTTTCGTTATTTTTGACTATATGAATGTTCCTGATGAATATGATTTTCGATCATTAAAATATATTGTCATTATTACATAACAAGCATTATAATTAATAAAGCTTGGCTTTTTAAAAAACGTGCATGTTCTCAATTTCAAAAAATCGATGGGTTCTTAAAAAATATAACAGATTCACAGTAAGCCACTACTTCTCATAAAATATATTGTATATGGATTCCATATTCTACAATATCTTTGAGTTACCCATTGAAATATTTTAATTCCTTATTCAACACTTGCATTAGGTCACAAATGCATAGATTTGATGTTACAAATCTAGTAACTGCAGGCATATAGGTTGATGCACATTAATAGATCCTCGATTCTTCATGTATTTATTTTCAATTAACCAAAAAAATATTTCAAAAAAATAGTTAATGACATTGCAATTGCATATCATTTTTTATTCACATACATAGATTAAGAATCGTACCATTTAATCTCGAAATTTCATATATTGATATATTTTCATTTTTTCTCGATAATGATTCATTTTCTTATTAAAATCAAATCATTTTATTAATCTAATCATCATAATCTATTTCAAATTGTTACAGTTACAGTTCATATATTTTCTCCAAATTCAATGAATTTACAAAGAATAAGAATCAAAATATCTTGGATATTACACATTACAATACTCCATTACAGATATTTCCATATTTTTTATACCCTACGTTCCCAACTTCTGGAAAACGGTTTTTCACCCTTATGATCAGTTTCAGACACTTTGGGAGTCTCCCAAACTTTGATATTTCGCATTATGATAGAGAAACGTGTCTAGTTTAACGCACAGTTGTTTTAAAGGCAAATGATGATATCACATGAAATTATCAAATTATCAAATTTTGAAGTACCAGTCCAAAGGGTTAATTAGATCCTACACAGATGTGCGATAGTGAAACATATGTGTTCTTGATTTGAGAAGTCCTACTGATAGAGGTATGAATCTCACAGCTTTGTGTGAGTGTGTCTGACACTTGTATAGAGTGGAATATGCGCCGACATATATTATATAATAACATGTAGTTGATAATTATGAAAAAATAGAATTTGATGCGAATGATATTGAAAGTTGTTTTGTAATTTGATATTTTTCTTATATGTGTTAATTAGTAAATGGCTTGTTTGTTGTGATCGTACTGTGAAAAATGAAAGGTATTTTAAATTAAAAAAATGAGATTTTGAGATATCTCTAGAATTAAGAATTTATTATGTATTTGACTTTTATATAACTATGTGTAAAGGATCTCGATGTCTATATGCTTTAAATAAAATTAAATAAAATGAGATAAAAAATTAAAATGGACAAGAAGATATATGGAAATGTAATTTGTATTGTGTTGGTTGTTGGCAAAATGATTTTAATACAGATTTAAGGATTTGGAATGGATTTGAAATTAAATGATTTTAATTCAAGGAGTAATAAGATTTTGAACTGGTTTTTATTTTGTGAATGTAAACTCCTTCCATAGGATATGTATTAGAAAGATCAATGTCAAACTTTTTGAAAGAATTGTTTTTTTGTTGAGCGATTTTCTCATATTTAATAATATATTTAAGTTGGCGTATCTTACGCCCTTCCAAAAATATGTATTAGAAAGATCAATGTCAAACTTTTTGAAAGAATTGTTTTTTTGTTGAGTGATTTTCTCTCATTTGATAATATTTTTAAGTTGGCGTATCTTACGCCCTTCCAAATATTTCTTAAAAATTTAAATTTGTCTCATCTCCTACTCTTAATTTAAAAAAATTTCAAAATCCATAATAGTAAACATTTCTTATTTTTATTTAAATCTGAAAAAAATAAATTTAAACAATTTCTCTACACACGACGGCTTCGGCGGTTTTCAGAATGGTTGACAACTGAATTCATCAGGATAATGTCGGTTGGGGTGCCCTTCTTGGCCTCCTGAGTACTCACCAAGATACCCCCAGCTCCCGCAAAACACCTCCCATAGGTGAGCATTAACTGATGAAGTTATTGACAACTTTATCTGATTTTTTTCTTTGTTTTTTTGTTAAGATTTCTTAACCAAAGACTCGAAAACAAAACTTCGCTTCAAGTTGCTGTCTTCCCAGTTACTCTGTCGCAATCTTTTGTCTGATTGCGTGCAAAGTTCTGCTCCTTTGAGACTTTGCCCGACAGATGCATCTGGGAGACAGCACCCAAGCAGCTTATCGCTTCAAGTTGCTGTCTTCCCAGTTACTCTGTCGCAATCTTTTGTCTGATTGCGTGCAAAGTTCTGCTCCATGAATTATCAAATATGTGCCATTTCAGGAGAGATAACAATCTTCTTCTGATTGCAGAACTTTCAACCGACAAGAGTGCACAATACACTCTTGTCGGTCAAAGTTCCGCATTCAAGTTATGAATGGGGAACTTGATATCATTCTGGGAGACATGCAGTGACAATGTCTCCCGGAATGAGACACTGTGACCGACAAGAGTGCACAATACACTCCTGTCGGTCAAAGTTTTGCAATCACATTCTGATTGCAGAAGATTGTCTCATTCTGGGAGACATTCAGAGGCAATGTCTCCCGGAATGAGACACTGTGACCGACAAGAGTGCACAATACACTCTTGTCGGTCAAAGTTTCGCATTCAAGTTATGAATGGGGAACTTTATATCATTCTGGGAGACATGCAGTGACAATGTCTCCCGGAATGAGACACTGTGACCGACAAGAGTGTACACTACACTTAATGTTTTCAAATTTTCAGATTTAAATTTAATCTTTATTTTCATCATCATTTATAGTCTTGTTCCTTTATACAGTTATAATAAATTATCGTCAGATTCTAATATTTAAGATTCTTACTACTCAATTCAATATAATTATGTTAGTCACTCATATTCAGGAGAATAATTTAAAAATCTATAGCTCATATTTTGATAGTTATATATTTAGATGATAGATATTGCAATTCCTGTTTCAACACGATCAAATGCCAAACCAAGACAAAATATATATGAATTTTCAAAATATCGATTTACATTAGAATCTATATCTAATTTTATCAATACACAAGTAGTGAATGTTCAATACATCTTTGAGCAACGTGAATAGCACAATTTTATAGGATTATTAGTTGATTATATAAAATATAAGCCAAATCGAATCTGCTGTATAGTACTTTAGTTTATCATTGAATGTTAAATGTGTTCATATAAATATTTGAGTCAGATATTGCATTTTCTAATTTCAAAATTTATCTCATGAAGTTAGAATTTATTTGATCATACAACATCATGTTAGTCAAACCAGAGTTCAATGGCGATTCTAAAATGGAACAAATGCTTGTTTTATCAAAATGTTAAAATATTAATCTAAAAAACTTAATATCTAACCAAACCATTCTAGAATTATTATATACAGGTATGGGCAATCTAAATGCACACGGAATTCGGAAAATTAAAAAGAATATTTATGAGATTATTAAATCTTATGTAATTCAATGAAAAGTAGATAATATGAATATCCATAGGCTATATATCAACATATGAGTTTTTGGTTTGACCAATACTATACTAATGTGATCAAATTAATCTGATTTCTTAGATTTTCATTTGAAGCATTTGCAGTAGTAGGGGTACCTTTATATATTAACATATTAAAAAATTGCGCTCCGATTCGCAGTTTCTTCATGATTTTGAGATTGCATTAGATTTCGCGATGCAGAAAAAAATCACTTTAGATTCCAGTCAAACTCTAAGTATAAGCATGTCTCTATATGTAGAAACTGTCTGCGCTATTTATTTCCCGGCTCAAAAAACCACGGTGTCTGTGTGAGGAAAATACCCATTTTAGAACCCTGGGTCATGAAAATTTTCCAAGAGTTGGAAATATAGGGTAAAAATTATATTTTATTTAACCATTCCATATTTAAACTTGAATTTATATTTGCTTTCGTTAATGAAAATCATTAAGGAACTGTAAACTCATCAAGTAGTAGGATAAGGCGGGGTTTGTGACTTTTTTTGTAAACGTAAGAATTCATACAATATCGAGCGATTTTGTATCATTTTTTTAACACATTAATTTTAAAATAATTTATTTTTTTATTCTTACATAAATGACCCAACAAGTAAAACCAGATAAAATAGATTATCGAATTTTAGAGGATGGTGTTCCTGTTTATATTCAAAGATTTAAAGGGAAGCAATATTATAGAATTGTTAATCCTGAATACATAAAACATTTATTTAAAAAGGAAGACTGTGAATTATTAAACGTTAATGAATATGAAACCAATAAATCAAAATTGAAATATAAATATATTGGAAGTGATGAAAGATGCAAAGATAAAGATAAAGTTTATACAGTTTCATATAATGAATGGAAAACCAATAAGATAAGAAAACATTTAGGAGATTATGGTAAAAGTTCTGAATTCTTTAAATCTAGTATGTATGAAAAAAAAAAAAGGTAGTGGGGCTTCCAGGCACTTCGTGCCCTCTAGCCCCGAAGATGTTTAGTATAAATGAAGTTTTTATTCGGAAAATTGTTAGTCTTCTGGTGTGAATTCGGAGGACTCTTCTTCTTCCTCCATTGCTTCTGGGAAGAAGCCTTCTTCTGGGTCGAAAACATTATATAATGTGTCGCTTTTCACAAAATATATATGTTTTCATGCTTTGTCACTTTTCTGTCACTTTTCGGGTAAAAACATTTTTATTATTATATATAAATGAATTTTACAAAACCACCGTTACCGTTCTTTGGAAATAAGAGTAAATGTAAAGATATTATATTGAGAGAACTTAAGAAACTACCGAATGGTCTAACATTTGTAGATTTGTTCGGTGGAAGTTTCTATATATCCCATTTGTGCCATACAATATTCCCAGACTCAA